TATCATAAAGTAAAAATACGCCAGCAGCATTTTTAATTAGCCTGAGGTCATACTTAAAAACTTTTCTTATCCTGCAGTGTCCCATAATTATAATCGAAATAGATGAGATTCTATTATTACATCTCTTATTCCAAATTCTATTCCTATTGTTGATTTAGATTCAATATCGAATTAATTTCTGCAAATTTTTGAGATAAAATTTGTTTTTCCTGTTCCACATGAACCTAGCAAAATAATTTTTATTTAATAATCCCATTTTTTATCTTAAACTTCATTATTCATTTTATTAGTTAAAAGATGAATATGATTATTAATTAAGATAATGATAAAAAAGTTTCAAATACAGGTATCCAGAAAATTAAATTATATTAAAAATTGTATAATGTATTATTGTATATTGTATATGTAATTTTCAAGCTCTATTTGGATAAAGGAACACTCTAAGGGTTGATCCTATAGCTCTTGGAGGAAGATTTCTACCAAAACGAGCAGTAACAACTCCGTTGCTGCCGTGAGATTTACTTATGCGTCCCCAAATTGCCTGAATGAAAATAATTCATACTCTGAATTTAGTGTTATTCTTTAATGAATGGGCCTTGTAAATATATGCAACTCTTTTTCCCCAATAGAATCTGCTTGATGCCACATCATTAACATGTTGAATTTTGAGTAATGCTTAGTTTTCATTTTACTAAACTTTTGATCTTCTGAAACCTGTAAATACAGCCTTAACCCATAGTCTAATTTAAATGCTATATTCTACCTAACAGGTGCTCTTTTGTTAGTTGTTTTAACTTTTTTTACAGTCTTTGTTGTTCCTTTCTACTATTCAGCTTATCCCTTCATTAATTAAAATCTTTGTTATTTTTTTATTTAAAAATTAAAATATTCATAATCACTAATATATTATATATACAATCCTTTAAATTTCAAGTTGACATTATTCATAAATATAGTTTTTTGTTTTACTCAATCTGGAAACTATAGGTTTGCCTTTGGAAAGTTATGGATTAATTTATTCTTTTATAATTTTAAAAAATGGTTAAGATGATTTTTGATTAATAAAAGAATATTAAGATTATTACAATTTTAACCATAACCGCTAACCATCGATATTAATTTTTTTATTGAATATATTAACAAAATTTCTTGAATTTTTATTTTTTCCCTGTTATTCTTAATGAGAAACAAAATTTTATATTTTTTTATTTGCCATTTTGATCTTAATTTGAAGATTATAATAAATTAAAGAATCTTTAATCCTATTACTTCCCAGTTCACTATTAAATTAAAAAAAATGATTCATTTTGATAAATTTACACTTTTAAAAACTTAATTTTATCTACTTTTTATTAATTGCCTTATTATTTTTAATTAATATTTTATATGAGAAGAAATGCAGATTTGGATTATTTTGTAAGAAATCCTTTAGTCTCAGCTATTAATATTGTTCTAAATACTCAAAAACAGTCAAAATTGGGAATTTTAATATATGCGGCAGGACTTTTCATTAGCTTTTGCTATTATTTTAAATTAAAAAAAAAATAAATCAAGCTTCATAAAATTTAAGATAAAATAAGATTATAAGAGCCTCTAAATAAAACTCTATTGATTTAATTAGATGATTCTTGGAGAAATGGAATATATAATGATTTTACTTATTTATTGCCATAATATAAGTAATGCGGAAATATGACTGTATTTAAAAATATTTATTTATATGTATAAATGGATTAGAATATGCAATTAGGAAAGATAAGCTTTAATGTGAATTCCAATAATTTAGATTAAATAGTCTATTAAAAAATTACAAGAACAGATTTTAATCAAACATTCACTCCTTAATTAACTTAATTTTAGTCTGAAAATTTTCATATTGATTTTAATAGAAAAACATAACAAATTTCATCTGCTTTTCTTTTTGATTTTGATGAAAAATAAATCTAAAAAGAATTAATATCCGTAGTTAAGAAATATCCTTTAAAATTTGAAAATATTATATCTAAATTTCTAAAAACCAAAACATTATTTGATGGAAATCAAATATCTTGGTAAGACCCGAATCCTTTTTCAGTTAGTAAGGGTAATTAATTGTGTATGAAATGTACTGCAATAATTTTAAATGATGAAATAAGAATAACAAATATAAAGGCTGTTGCAAATAATTTTGTTAGATTAAAATATTTTCTATAAACAAATATTATTTCAAAAATCAAAATTATTTAATCTAAAATAAATATAACAAAATTTAGTATGGGTTTGTTTGGATTTTTAATGATATATTAGATTGGAAAATATTTAATGAACGAATTAGAACCATATATGCTGAAAAAAGAGTATCCTGGATTAGATAAAGTTTAGTAAAAATTGAAATTTGTATAGTGTGACAAAGGGACGAAATGCATTCATTGTTAATTAAGAAATGCAAGTTTTATTTTTATACCCTGCTATCATTTATAATGTTGTAAATAGTGTTTTGATGAAAAAAATGAAATAGAATGTAAAACCTGTAAAATAACAATTTATTGCGGTATTCCGATTTTTGTGTGTAAATGATTATTTTCATATTATATGAAATTAAAAAACAATTCGCTCCAGAGGCCGAATCGAACAGCTGTGCCTCTCGGCACCTTCAGGGTTTGAAGCCCTGACGAGGCACCAGCCCCACTCACCAGAGCAATTATTTAATGTTCATAATTCATTTATTATTTAATAATTTTATTAAAATATTTATGGGATTTGGATAAATACAAAAGCAACCATTAAATTAGCTTATACAAATAATATGTGATCATCCAGATGCAAAATTTACATACTTTTCTGACATAGTATTCTAAACAGAATAAACTTGTATATAATTTATAATATTCAGAAATAATAATCGACAAAGTCATTAAGGAACAAGATAAATTTATTTATTTTCTTGACATGAAAAATTTTTGCTAAAATAATCAGAGAAACTTGAATAATTTTAGCGTTCTAAAAAGTCAATATTAAACAATCGTGTGTTTGCTTGTTTATGAATAAAATTAATTTAGTATAGTATTTCCATGAATAAAATATTAACTCATTTACTTTAACTCACCTACATAGCATCCAAATCTGCTTTTATAGAATTGTATTGAGATAGCAGTTTATGATAATCTTTATTTATTTTTATAAATTTCTTTTTCCAAGTATCATCTTCTGAACTCTCCTATTATGATTATTATTCTTAATTATATATAACCTAGTTTAATTATTCAATTCTTAAATCTCTTTCTCTTAATAAAATTTCAAAAAGTGAATTATCTTTCTGAACTCTATCTAAGCGCTCAAGAGTTACTTAATTTAAATTTTCAAATTACTTAATCCTATTCTCCATCTCGTTCTAAACTGATTCTCGGAATTCATCAAATAAAATTTTTTTGATATTCAAAGTATTTTATAATTAAAGAATCTCTTTTTTCGATTCTTTGATTTCTAATTTTTATTAGTCAATTTGAAACTGCAATTTTTTACATTTTCCACATTCTTAATTTTCTATATTACTTTTAATATTTTCATTTTGCTTTTTTAATTAGAGTATTTCATTTGCTTACTTTTTACTTATTTATTCTAACCCTTAATATCTACTCATCAAATTTTGATAATCAAATTAAAGCTTGATTATATCCTTAGGACTTTACATTGACATATAATTATTCGTTAAATAAATAAATTAAATTTATAATTTAGATTATTTTTATAATTTTAAAATCTAAACTAAATTATTCTATTATTCTGCGATGCTGTAAATAGAAAACTCAAATTTAAGTTGTTTATTTTTAATTTTTATTTTATTGCAACTTAAAGTTAACCTCATTAGAGAATTGGATGAATCATTATAATAATAGCTTTGGAAAATAAGATTTGTTCAAAGATTTATTATAATGATTATTTTTAATATTACAAATAAAATTCAATTGTTGCCTTTATTATCCTAATAAGAATATCTGTATTGTTATTTTGGTTTATAGAATATAAGATAACCTCTTTTAAAATTTGGATGATATAGATATGTTTATAGGTCAAGTACTTTTTATGAATATTTAATTAATGAGCAAATGCACATTAAAATTTTTGGAGGAGCTATAATAAATATTTTTGATTAATTTTTTTTAATATTTATTCTACTTTTATTATAAATGAGTATAATATCCTAGATTACTTCATTTTCTAAGGGTTATTTTTTAAATTTGTTTAGTTGATTAAGTTATATTTTATGATCCTTTGATTTCAAACTCAATTTTATAATCTTTCTATTTTTTTTAGGCTAATGCTTGCACCAAATAATAAAAATTTAAATGAAGAATCTATTCATAAATGAAACCTTCTGTACAAATAACAGAGAATGATATCTAAAAATCAAGTAAGATCATCCCTAATATAACTTAAAGCAAAGTCCAACATAAAAGTATTATTGAAATTTATATATAATTTCTATGCATAGTAACTATAAATAATAAATGATCTAAATGAAATTGATTAGAATAATGATAAATAATAAAACATAGATCAAATAAGTTCTTCAGTCTCTTAAATTTATTATTGCTATTATTAGTATTATTATTTGTAGATTTCATTTTTACTTTAGACTAAAACTAATTTGTTAAGTATTATTTCTGTCTATTATCTTAATTTGCTTAAATATTACAAAACTTATGACTTTTTTGTTAATTCCTCAACTTTGAGTTGATTTTACTTCTATTTTATATCTAAAATGATATTTTTTAATAATATCATTAATTAATCATAATTATCTGTTATTTTATTAATCTTTTAATTTTATTCAAATATTATTTTTTACATGATTATTTCTCTCTTTTTAAAAATAGGATTGCTCTCATTTTCTAAAATTAGTTATTATTTTTTAATTTTATCTTTTGGTTTTTTGTAATCCTTTTGTTTTAAAAATGATTGCACTTTAAGAATATTCAATGGACTATATTATTAAAATTGACTTTCAATAAGAGTATTTGATTATAAATTTTACTTGTATTATTGTAATTCTTATTTTAACAATTCATTTTAGGTTTATAATTATTTAAATTCACTGCTATCTAAATTTAATCAAATATAGTACTCTATTATTATTTTAATTCATTAATTTATTTCTAAAGCAATTCATTTTATTCTTTTAACTATATCTATTCAGTATATTCTGATTCATCAAATTATCGAATTAAGGGTATATGATTCTCTTCTTCTAACGTTTCTAACTATTCGCAATCTTCTTACTAATCTACTTGAATAAATTATTGAGTTTTTAACTATTAATCTTATTCCTTTATTTTTTATTACTATAATTAAATAATCAAATTTAAATCCTATATTTTCTTATTCAAATCTTCTATAATGTTGTCATTAATATTTAATATATTTTATTCTAAAGATTCTGGTTTGCTTTTATTTTTTTCTTTTTAAGAAGTAATTTATTATAGTTGTTCTTTGAGAGAAGTATTTTCAAGTTCTAATTAAAAAATCTATTCTTTCTCTATAATTTATTTTTTTTCACTTTATTCTTATTTCTATTACATTAGAAGCAAACTATCATACTTTGACTGCAAGATTTCATACTATATTCTTAACTTTTAAATTGAATTACTTTAAATCATCGCTACTTTGAAGTTAATTGTTTTAAATTGATTATCTTACAGTTTTTTATTTTAATTGTTCTTCTTATTGTTTCTATATAATCAACTATTCTTCTAAATTTATTTTTTCTGAATTCAATTTATTCAATTCTAATTTTTATTGCTTTAGATCATTTTATATGTTTTCAATTTGATTTTATTAGGACAAACTTGTCTCTTAATATTATAAAAAACAGTTAACTAATATAGAAAATTTAATACTTAATTGCTAAACTTTTACATCTTTAGAATTAATAGCATTAAGATTTCCAGAGACAAGTGAAGTCAGAGTTTCCCATTCTTACAATTATTATTTAATTTTAATAAATTCCTCATTTTTTTAAAAGGCATCCGTTTGATTAACTGTCCTAGGCTATAATAATAATCATTACTATAATTAATTAATTTATTGTTTTAATAAAGAGTTTTCATTACATAACTCTTAAGTATTATTCTCATTAAAACTACTTTATTATTCTATTTATGCGTTGAGTGATTAAATTTGATCTCTCAAATCCTGCTCATTTTATACATATTTATTTAAATTTTTTTGATCCTATTCTTATCTCTATAATAAATCTTTAACTTAATTGATTGCGGTTTCATATTTTTATCTATGATAATAAAATCTTTTTTATTAATACTTTTCTTAATTTAATGCTTCTTGTAATTCATTTTTTTCTTTCTCTAATACCTAAATTTTTTACTTATAAATTTCTTGAGCTTATTCTAACTGTATTAAAATTTCTTGATCCTTCAACTATTCTTTTAACTAATCAATCTCAAATCTAAGTATTAAATTATGATTACTGATTATCATCTAGCAATTGAGCAGATTCAGTAACAATTTAGTCATATTATTCTTTAAGGTTTCTTTTAGAAAATAATATGTAATATTTACTTATTTTCTTCAGAATTTAAATGATTTTCATGTTTCAATTATTTGTTAAGTTCTACTAATTCATTTATATATTACCTAAAAATTATATAGGTTGAAAATTACTTTAGCTATTCATTTTCTCTTAAAATCTCTTCATTATCTGATGAATTTACAACAACATTAGAGGGTTTTAATTTTAAACTTTAAATTTCATCTTTTTATTGTTGGATTTCTTCTTATTATTATTTATTTTTTTTTTTAAGTAAATTATTGTTGTCTTCTAAATCTTTTATTTTTTCTTCAAAATCTTCTTATAATTGTGTTTATTCTTTTAATTCTTCATATTATTTTCTAGATTTGAATGAATATATTACTTTAATTTTTCAAATTGAGTAATTTAATTAGTTTGAGTAGATAATTATTATTCTAATTTAAAAATTTAAGCATAATTTGAATTATCAGTTTAAAGTGTTATCAATTTTTAATTTTCATCTTCTAATTTGTTAATTTTCTGTTTTTGGATTTCAATTTAATCTCTATATTTTAAATAAAATTAGTTTACTTCAATTATGAAAATTGTTCTTCTGTTATTTTAGGAACTTTATCTGATTAATTTTAGTCAAGGGTATTTTTTATTTAAATTTATAAAGTATTAATCTCTTATTTTAATTTGAGTGTATGTTATTACTCATTTATTAATTATGTTTTTAGAGTATTAATTTAATTTCTATTATAATTAAAACTATTACTCTTGAGTTGAAATTAGCTGATTTGTTGATTAATTTAACAAATCTTTTGAATCATTTTAATTGATTTCTTTTTCCATTTCTAATTCTTCATTTAATTATTTCAATTACTTTAATTCATCCTATAATTTACAAATCAATCTAATTTTTAATAGAAAATAGTTTTGTTACTTCATAGAATCAGACTCTGAGAAACCATTTTTAAGTGATGAGATTTATTATTTAAGTTATGATATTGTTTGATCTCTTTCATAAATTTCACTTTAATTGTATTCTTCATTGTCTTAAGCATCTTGTTTAGATCTGTAAATAATGAATATAAAAGAGTATACTAAGCTAATTCTGATTAAAGTAAAAGAACTTAGTCTTTTAGATTTCGAATCTAATCTTATAATTGTTATGTTTGACTCATTTAATTAAAAAATATAATAAATAAAAAAAAAAGAAGAAAAATAAAGTAGATTGATAGAAATGGTTGATAACTTGGTTAATGTTATTTTTAATAGATCATGCTCCCTTGAGTTATGATTTAACGTAATCTTAGAATCTTGGTTAGTTGAGCAATTCTAAGGCTTAGTTGGCAGCATTGATTTCTTTATTATATTCAGCAACAGTGGCATTATAGACATCAGTGGCAAATGCATAGTCATCATTTTCAGCTTATAATTATCCATTAAGGGTTGCTAAATCAGCATCAAGTTCATCGATAAGGTCAAGGGTTTATTCAATCTTGGCTAAATTGATTAGAAATTGAGATAATACTAGCATTAGCTTCAATTTCAGCATTTTTAACAACAACTGCTCTTTAGAATTCAGCATGTTCTTGGTTTAATTATATGACTTAAGCATTGAAATCAGCAACAGCTTCAGCTTCATCAGCTGTAATTTAATTAAGTGAATCAACCATTTCAACTCTCAAATTATTAAAAGCAACAACAATCTATTATTTATTTTTTTAGAATTACGTCTCTAAGTGCACCTTAATCAGCAAAATTAGATTCTACTGTAATTTCCAAAAGAACTTTTACGAAGATTTGGAATTAACTGTGTTTTTTCAATGAGTTTTAGATTTTGTTAAGATTCTTTTAAACTTTTTTTATTTAAACAAGAGATGGTGCTTCCAAAGTATTCAATAATTAAAGACATTCATCAATAGCACTTAAAACATCATTGTGTTCAACAACTTAAGCTTCAAATGTTTCATGATCATTGGCTCTTTATACAGTTGCTTATTCAAGAGTTTATCTATTTTAAGCAATATTTTCTTTTAATTATTCAAGTTAGTTTGCAAATCTATCTCTTTATGGGATCAATACATTATCATAGAAATCATGAGCATTGAAAATTTCTAAAATTATCAAAATTTTTTATACCTCTTTCCTTATCTTAGATTTCTTATTCAAGTCTGCTTACTTCTCTATTGTGAACATCTGTTCTTCTATTGAATTCATGATGGACTCCAGCTAATTCCTCTTCTAATTCACCAACCTTTTAAATTAGTTATAATTAATTGTTACAAGTTTTTCAATTTCGCTGTTGAGTTCAGAAAGGATACCACCTGTTTACATATGGAGTTCAGCATAGTTCAAAATGAACTTACCCCAACCAGATGTATGGATTTCAGCAAGAGCCTTTTAATCACGATTTGTCCAAATAGATGATTAGACATTTATGGCTGTTGCACCCAGCACTAACAATACACAAAGAGTTAGTTTTAACATTTATTGTAATTATTATTGACATACATCTGACTATTATTTTGTGTTAAAAAATGTAAAAACGAATATTTATTTTCATATATAATAATTATTATTATTTTCTTCCCTATGTTTCCTCCATTTATATTTTATTTATTTTATTCCAAACACTAAAAACTTTCTCTCTCTATTTTAATCTTATTAGATCAAATCTATTTATTCAGTTTAAAAATTCTTCTCAAATTATACACTCAACAATTCTTCCTTTTTATCATTAAATTATCTATTATATCCTATTTTTATTCCTAAATTCTAAATAAAAATATACTACTTATTCAACTAATCATTCTTTTCAATTAACGAAAAACCTAAAAATCCCCCTAAATTTCGATTTTCTACTTGTGATAAAAGTTTAACCCATTCTCTTTTTTATAAAAATTATTAGCATTAAATGAATTAATTACTGAAATGTTAAAAGCAAATTGTTTTGATTTCCGTTTCCTTTTCAAAATAAAAAGTTTCAAAATTTGTTCACTAGACTTAAAGGAAATAAAATATTTTTCTAATCTTTTAAACTATATATCATTATGCCATTCTAAATAGGTTTTACTGATTTTGTGTTAATAATGCAAATTGATTTATATATTTTCAAATCAAAATCATTAATATTAATAAAGTTATTAATTTGTCTAAAAAGTAAATTAAGATTCTTATAAGAGGAAATAATCATTTAAATTATTGAACTCTAATATTTTAAAAGTATTAAATTGTAAAATTTTATGTAGTCTAATTCCAAGAAGTTTTAAAATTCTGTTTATAATTTATTTATTTTTTCGTTTTTTGCCACCTAGATTAATAAGAAAAGTCTCTATTTAGTTGTTTAATTGGTAATCTTTGAAAATTAATGAGTATTAAATTCATTCAAAAGTATAATACTGAAATGATCATTAAGATATATGAGTATTGTTGTAAAATAACTAAATATTAAAGATTTGATTATTCAATAATAGAATAGTTAAGTTTAATTAACATAAGCTTTATGTTAAGGTCAAATGAATATTCAGTCAACATATATTATTTTTACTAGATTGCATTAATTGCATTAATAATTTTTTAAATGAATTTACAGGCCATCAAGGAAGCAGCTTAATAAATGTATAAATTTTATATTATCTTAGTAAGGATAAGCTTACCAAATCTCCTTTAGAATAAACATTGTCTGAGTCAACATCAAATGAGAATTGGAATACTCCTACTAAATTACTTTAAGAATTAGCTGAGGCTTCATATGGATAGTATGACTGTGTTTGTAGAATATTTTTAGTACAAGTTGTGACATAATAATGAAATTCATATGGAAGCGTCTTGATTCGGATAACAGAGAATGGCGTCGGATTTTGAAAGTATAATAGTTTTTAAAAAAAATACTAGACTTTGAATATAATTGAATATTTGATAAAGAATGGAGCACCACATTGTGTTGGAGAATTTAGAAATAATATTAGCAAAATCAGAAGTTTTTCTGATTTCTTTTTGGTTGATTAAGGTTCTGATAAAGGACTATCAAGTATTGAAAAAAAAATATTAGTTCGTGATAAGACAAAACAATTAGTTGATTTATTAAGCAATGAAAATTTGATTATTGAAGAAAGAGAGAGCGCTAAAAAGATACGAGAGCGTTTAGCAGGTAATAATTAATTTAAAATTTTAGCTGCTGGAGGTGTTGGAGCAATAGGAAGTAATACTTCTTATTAAGGTTATGGAAGTAGTTCATATGAAAGTAATAAACCAAAAGTTTATGGATAAGAATCCAATTCATCTTAATAAACAAGCTATTGTAACTATTCATTATATATATTTAGCTACAAATTATGGTGGTCTCGAAAGTGGAGGAGGTCTAGATAAATATAAAGGTATAACAAATAATAATACAAATAATCAAACTAATACTAATAATACTCATACTAATAATCAAACTAATACTAATATAACTTTAAATGAAATTTAATGGACTACAACTTAACTATAGACAGTTGCAGCTCCATTTTCTGAACCTGTAATGAAATTAGCTAAGCCTGGAGAAAAGTGGGATGTTCCAGAACCTAAAATTTAATAATAATAGTAACCACAATAAACACAATAACAATAATCATAATCAAAAAATCTATTAGATATTTTTGATGTTCCTTAATAAGTCCCATTAATAACATAATAATAACCACTAATTGCATAACCTTTATAACCAGCTCCATCACAATAATAAAATAATTAAAATGAATGGGGAGCATTCTAAACAGCTACTCCAATCAATAATACTATTCAATAATAATAAACTTAATAACAAGTATAGCATAATTTATTACCTAATGATATTTTTACCCCCTCTGTTCCATAATCGCAATCTTCTGCTATTTTTGGATAATAAATACTTCCTTAATAGAACAATTAGCAATAATAATTTTATTAATAGTAACCATAATAATTATTAAATCAATAGCCTTAAGCATAATAAAATTTACAAAGCTTATATTCATTGTAATAACAATAAAATAATTTGTACTAAAATTATTAAATAAATAATAATTATCAATAACAGTAGTAATAATAATAATAAGCTGTAAGCTATCCAAAAACTTAAGTTCATGTTACAAACAATAATCAATAAAAGCAACAATAAGATGATTTTGCTTTTGATGAATTTGTATCAGCCACTCAACCTAAAATTAATAATACTAATCAAACTGATTTATTAGGCATGCTTGATTTGAAAAAAGAGAAATAAGAGTTAGAATAGAAGAGATAGATTCCAATAGCTTCATAATAGAATATGTAAGCTTAGTTGTATGCATCCTAATCTGAATTGGATAGTTTCTAATTTAACTATTAAAATAAAGTACCAATTTATGGACAATGTATTATAATATTTTATAAATAATAGATTAATACCAATAAAGTAGATGATTTATAATATTTATTATTTATGATATAATTTGATAACAATTAAACTCGATGTCCTTCAGTTGCTTGATATGAATTAATAAAAAAACTTAGTACAAAGTACAACTTCAACATTCTCTCTAGAAAGACTCAACTTTTAAGAAAACTAAACATCATTAAATAAACAAAATAAATTTATAGATCTTTTTTAAATTTTGTAAATCGAAATAAACGATATTATTCATGTCTTGTTAAAATGAATAATCTACGTCAAATGGAATGATCATTACATAGTTGTAGATAATTAATAATAACTTCGGATAGCAATTATCCAACTTATAGAATGAATTTAAATAAAAATAATCTAAAGGATGTTTTAAAACGATTTTAAATCATTAAAATAAATGATAATGATTTTTATGGTTATATGCAAAGACAAGTTATAAAATAATATGATTGATATAAATATATATTTGTATTGTTGCTTTTTGTATATCATTCTCTTCTACGATAAAATAATACATAAGCTGCACTTGTAATTAAGGTTGAATGAATAGAATCTTCTCTAACAGGATGAACTGAACTGTCATCAAAATTATACCATGTGTTATCGTAGTAATTTTTAGCAAATGCTGTATAATGACCTCCACCCATTCCACCAAAATGATTAGATATAGCATAAAGATCATAATAAATTGGATTATTGCATTCTAAATATACATAACATTTATACTTGGATTTTATGGATCTTCAGTAGCAAATTGTGATGGCAAATTATGATTTTATACAAAATCTCTGATGTCAAAATCATTAATTGGAAATTCTATCAATGTTTCAAGTTTGCTTTTGAAAAGTTTATTAGAGTTCTTAAATCTTTTTAAATGGAATATTAATATTTTAGGTGTTTTGTAGATTTCCATAACTTTGAAAGCACGACTAATAAATTTTAAATTATAATAATATACACATGATCTTTGCATTAATTACAATACCATGTATTTTCTTCATCTAATTATTCTGGTTATTCAGAGTATTTCAAGCATTCAACTAATTTCATTGATTTTTCATTAGTAGCTTAAACAACAGTAGACTATATTGTTGGTATTGAAGGTCCTAAAGGAATTACACTTGTTGTAAAATTTTATTTTTAAGCTAATAATTCATCAGATATATTTTCTTATTGTTTTGAATCTTCAACAATCTCCTCTTTTTATTAATATTCTTAATCTGTTAATTATTTTGGTTATTCTTCATCATCTTTTTATAATAATTTTTTTTATTAATTTTTTAACCAATCATTGTATAATTCATCAACAGAATTATTTAATTTGAATCCTCTCTTCCAAACTACAAAAACTTCAATCTCTAATTTAGGTTCTGCTTAATAATATTTTTCAATTAATGTATCTTGCCCATAGGCACAAACACAATCATTGCATTACTTAGCATTGCAAAAAGCACACTCAACTTGCCAATTTTAATTAGATTTGAATTCTAGATAATAAACCTTATCTAATATATATTCTTCATAATATTCATTCCAATTATTACCTTCATATTTTGGAAGGCCTTCAAAAGTACTTAAGACTCCAACATGAAGTTCGAATATGAATTAATGTATATCATTATGTTTAGTTTTAGTTTTATCAAAATAAAAGTTGAATGCAGGTGTAATTTCTCTTTTCCATTGATATTAAGCATTTTATTTATAAGATTCATGTATCATGATACAAACTTTGTTTTCTTTTTCAATATTGAGTTCAGATTACAACGCTTTTCTGATATATAATTTTTTATATTTTAATTTTTTTCTTAAAGTAGACATTTTTTCATTTTCATCAGTACCATCACTTTAATAAGATGAAGTACATAGATAGACTAATTCAGTTGGATTGATATGTTATATTTTATCTTAAATTTCTGGAGATTGCAAAATTTAACCAAGTGGAGGATCTTGATTTTTATCATAAATATAGACGAGACTTTAACAATCCCACAATAGATTAGGATCGATAAATTGGATATCTAATTTTTTGGTTGCATTTTATGGAATACCAACATTGACCATTAAATAAGGGTCAAAAGTAATAGATATTTTATTACAATTTGGACATCTTAAGGTACTCTTATATTATCCATAGAGATTATCAACAATAATGCTATCATTTCTTAATTTAAATTATTCCCATGATTCTTTAGCAACTTCAAAATCTGGTCTGCCATCATAATCTTTTCTTTCAACATAAGGTTTTTATTTGATTCTACATAAATCTTCATTTAATCCATCTAATAAATAAGTAATCAATTCTTGACTATCATGTTATTAAAATCCTTAGAATTATGGTTAGAATTTCCCAATTGCTCTTTTAAGTGAGAATGGAGGTATTGGTGTTTTATCAGCATACCACATTCTTCTTAAAAGATGAGCAAACTTTGAAGCTAATTCTCCTTTTGTTCCTAAAGTATTGAATTCATTAATATCTTATTTATATTCATTTGATAATAAGTATTCTCTTAATTGTTATGTATTACCAAGACATTAAATACCTGAATTCATAAAACATGTATTGCCTAGGTTTTTTAATCCAACTTTGCCATCTAATGATTATTCATTTCTTTAAAGTTTATTCATAGTTTCATCATCAGAATCAGTTTTTTCACATCTTTATAAATGATATGCTTCATCTCTTTTTTTACATTCTTCTGTACAATAACTTACTTTTTTACATTCACATGGAAATTAAAGTACTTTAAAATTATAACAACCTTCGCATTTTCCTTCCATAGGGAAATTAGGATGTTTAATAGCCCAATTCTTTTAAATTTCTTTAAAATCACCTAATATAGCTTAACCTGGTGCTATTTAACAATCTTCTATAGTTTCATATTTAAGTGGATCCAAATACTCACCTTCTTTAAAATCAAAAACTATATCATCCTAAGGTCCAAGATTTTTAATTTCATCAGATATATGTTTTTCTATTTCTTAAATAGTCCAACCTAATGGTGATTTATATAGTCTGATTCCATCATATTTAAGAAATGAATATCCGCTTCTAAAAATGATTGAATAATAATTACGTACACTGTTTATAAAGTATTTGCTAATAATTCAATAAATGAAGATAATTTGCATGTTCTAGAGACATATTAATCTCCTTTTATAAGTGATACTGTTTTTATTCCATTAAATTTTCTAAGTGAAGAAGGAAACACTGCTACAAAATTTAAAGGTACAAGATTGACATTCACTTGTTTCTTTCCGTTTATTATTATGGCATCTCGTTCTATTGTTGTTACGTGAAACCTACATAATTAAAAATATTCACACTTTCTAGATATGATTTCCCATGTTGCCTTATCTAAAATTTCATAATCTACTCCCTCTTAAAGATTTGGTTGCATTATTTTATTCCACATATGACTTTATATTGGATCATATTTAAAGATTGTTGATGGTTTAGACAAAATTAGGTCTGAATTTACACAAGAATAGTTGTTTAAAGGATTTCCTTTCTCTTCACTTTCTAACCACTCTTCTAACCATCTATCCATTTACATCTAAATTGATTTACTTCTTAGATATTATATAATAGATCATATCTTCACTTGTATGGAATTCATCAATCCCTCGTTATCTTGACTCTTTGAATTATACTAAATCACTCATTAAATAATTAAATATCAATCATCATATTCTTATATTCAATTACTATTCACTCTATATTACTCTTTAATTCTATTTTCTATTCATTACTCTCTCTCTTAACTTTAATAATATCTAATTTAATCTTCAATTTTACTATTTTATTTATTTCCTTTTTGTAACATTCTTAATAATCTCAGTAATCTAAAATTTATCATCTTTCTCATTTTCTATTTTCTATTTATTACCTCTTTATTAAATTTACACTATTCATCTATAAACATCCATGTTTCTAATTAATTTATACTGGTAAATTTTAATCATATAAATGTTTCATCATAAAAATTTAAAGGATTTTATTCTAATTTATATTTTATTATTTTTATAATCTAATGAATTATTATTAATATAATGTCAGGATAAGATGATCCAGATTATGAACCAGGAAATGGAAGAAAATTTACATTTAAAGAATTCAGTTAAGATGCTTTAGAATAATTGGCTATAGCTAAAAATTTTGATAAGTTATATAAACTGGCAGAAAAAGCACCTTAGCATACTCTAACTTATGATAAACTTAAATTTAATGATGAAATCTATAAAACAGGAGAATCAATCTTAATAAATGTCAAAAATTTTGAATTTATTGCCACAATAAAAAAGATTATTAGTATAAAATCATAAAAAAATGACTAAGAATTACCATTAGTGATTATTAATTTATATTGTAACAAAGATAAAATAGCTTCATAATATTAAGAATAAAAAGAATATATGGGAATGTCTGAATTATTTTTAACAGAAGAAGAACATGCAATTTTAGTTGATGCAATCTAATCAAAAGTTCTTGTTTTAAGGTATGAAGATTATGAATAATATGAATTCAAAGATGCTGTATATTTTACAAGAGCATTTTATAATACTAAAAGTGAAGAATTCCTACCAGAAATAAGCAAATGGCCAAAAGTATGTTATTGTAAAAAACCTCAAAATCCTGATTTACCATATGTATTTTGTGATATGTGTAATTAATGGATACACTTAAAATGTGAAGGATTGACAGAAGAGTAAGTCTAAAGCATAGAGTCTTTCATTTGTACATATTGTAAAGGAAAATGAAAGAAATAAAATATAAAAATAATTAAATAAATTTCAATAAATAAAACAACAATCTTCGTTAGGTTTTCGTGGTTGAGATATTACATTATTTTAAGCAGATAAGTATTCTTAATGATCTTTCTAATCCTATTAATTAATAGCATTTTCACTTGATCTAAAAGATTATTCTTAATAAAAAGTATTATTTAGGTTTTAACTTTGTAACATTTACTAGATTATTTGATCAATTTAAGTATAATCTAATTAAACTCCACTATATTATTATATTAATAGTCTTGTTTCTTTAACTTTCATAAAGTAATCACGTAATTAATTATGCAGTTAATAATCATAATTTGGTTCTTATTTGTTTACTCTTTCAAAAAATTGCATGAATTGTGAAACAGTGATTTCAAAATTTGTTAGTTTGACTATTTTAGCTGATTATTAGATCTACTTAAGTTCTGAGTAGATTGATTTAAGATCTTTGTTTTGATAAAACTTAACAATATTTTAGATTGAAGGAGAGAGTGTAAGAGAATCAAAAGTAATGAGAGATGTTTTATATTGTCTCTCATCTCCATTGAATTATTTAATGCCTTAATCAATATTCATATAAATTTAATTATTATGCAAAATTTGTTTATTTATTAACAACTGGTCTTCTTTCTTTTACAAATTAAAATGCTTGCTCATAATTCCATTTATTTTTTTTCATTAAATAAGCACAAACTATAGCTGGGGATCTATTAATACCAGCAGCACAATGAACAAAAACATTTTATGCTTGATCAATGAAATTGTAAGTTTGATCTAAATATTCTAAAATAGATTGATTTAAAGAATCCTAAATATTGATTTAATGATATTGAAAATCTTAAGGAAATTTTTACTTCAGGTAATCTCCACAAATCAGAATGTGAGTTATTTAATATTTTTTTAAAAGGTTCTTGTTTTTAGCTGCAATATAATTACCAAGATATAATTTATTAGGAAGTATTTCACTAATGGATGAAGATTCATCCTATTTTTATTGATTCTTTGAGATATAATGATTAATATACTTCTTAATGGATTTGATCAATTTAATCTTCAAAATGTTCTAAATTCTATGCTTATTATTTTAAACAAGTTTGACAAACAGGAAGATCTGTATTTGTAACATCAGATTGTTAAAAACATAAAATACATAAAGAACTATTGTTCATAATTTATTTATTTTAATAAATCAATTTCTTTTGCTGATGAATTGTGCGGTGGTTGATAATTTCTCACTGATATGTTCTTAGAGTCTATCAACAATTTCATTTTAAGTAGCTCTAAAATAAAATAGATATAATAAATATTACCTTTCAGCAGTTTAAGTTTCATAGATTTCTGATTAGACTGCATACCATGCTTATTATCCAGCAAGTCTTTCTTCACTATTTTCTAATTCTAAGGTATGGAATTCGATCCATGATTAAGCATCTTCAATAGTATCCTTTTATTCTTAGATTTAGACTTCTAATTAAGCTTTTCTTTCAACCAATCTGGTATGTTCATTACTCAAATGAACACTGAATTCAGCCCAATGAGCAGCTTATCTTTCTTCAACGTCCTTAATAATTAGAATGATTTAATACAGTTTTAGCAGCTTTTTCTTATACTAATTATTATCTAATTTCACTCAATAATTAAGCAATTTTGGTTAAAGCCTTTTAGTTAACTCCATGTGTAGCTAATTCAGTAAGAGCAACAACAACTGGCTATAATAAAAATATATAAGAATAAATATTTACTTATAAGAGTTGACTATGTGATGTATTGTCTGTAAGTCTCTTGTGAACTGTTTCATACTTTGATTTAACTTAGACAAATGATGCACCTAAACTTAAATGTTAGATGAGTTTAGCAGCTTCATCAATAGCATCAATAACATCATCAATAGCAGCAACCTTAGCAACAAAGGTTTCGTGTTATTAATTTCTTGTAGCTTCTTCTCTAGCATAAGTTTATTCATTTGTTGCAATGTCTTAAATAACGACTCTAATATCTTCTTCAGAAACAGCCAAAGCTTCAATTGTGTCATCTCTCAATTATGTATTTGATGAGATTTGATTTTAGTGATACAAGATTTCCTTTTCTAAATCTTCAACAATCTATTATATTGTGTCTTATTCTTACTCTATTGTTTGTGGTTGTATCAAGTTCAAAAGCATGGTCATGGTCATTTTAATCTTATTATAATCCAGCAGCAACACCGTTCAATAACATATTAACTTCATTGGCTGGTGTTTAAGCTTACAAGTGTGCTTTGATTGCTGATAACACTACATTTCCAAATGGATTAGCATCAATTTAAGCCAAGCTTGCATGTGTATCTACAAACTTAGCAGCTGCAAGAGCAAGAACCAATGTCAAGATAGCTAATTTTTGCATTTATTTATTTAATGTTTTTAAAAACGGATCGATTTATGCTTATGTATATAATTAATTTATTAATATTTATCCCTATTTTCTTATAATATTACTAACATCCTATCATCATCTACTTTCTAATTCAATTTTCTAATAACCTTTATCTCAACTCTATATCCTCTTCAAATTATTTAATTATTTTATTCTATTTTAATCAATTTTTCTTCTCTTTCTTTCAATATATGCCCATATCTCTATCTAATCAATCCTCATATTAACTTAATCTTTTTATTTCATAGCCATTAATTAATCTATTATATTTCAAATCAATTAATTAATTTTTATTTTACTTTTAATCTGAAATACAAATGATTGTTCTTCCTTCTATATTTATTTCCAAATTCTAATCATCCTTTTAACCTCAAATTCTTTCCTTTTTAATTCTTCATTATTTATCTATCAATAGTATTTCATTATATATATCAAATGTATGTTTAAACATACTCAATTAAATACTTTTATTTATTTATCAATTAAAATCTTGCAAATATTCAAAAAATAATTTAATTTTTCTTATGTCAACACCATTCTTCACAGTGAAAGTATGAATAACTATTTAAATTTAAAAGGACGTACCTGCATAAGATTTCATTCGTGCTTATGCTGAATATTTGAAAAAAAATAACAAGATTAAAATTCCAGAATGGGGTTCAATTGTCAAGACAGGACTTGGAAAAGAAATCTCACCAATTGACTAAGATTGGATGTATGTTAGAGCTGCAGCACTTGCTCGNTGTATTTGATGAGATTTGATTTTAGTGATACAAGATTTCCTTTTCTAAATCTTCAACAATCTATTATATTGTGTCTTATTCTTACTCTATTGTTTGTGGTTGTATCAAGTTCAAAAGCATGGTCATGGTCATTTTAATCTTATTATAATCCAGCAGCAACACCGTTCAATAACATATTAACTTCATTGGCTGGTGTTTAAGCTTACAAATGTGCTTTGATTGCTGATAACACAACATTTCCAAATGGATTAGCATCAATTTAAGCCAAGCTTGCATGTGTATCTACAAACTTAGCAGCTGCAAGAGCAAGAACCAATGTCAAGATGGCTAATTTTTGCATTTATTTATTTAATGTTTTTAAAAACGGATCGATTTATGCTTATGTATATAATTAATTTATTAATATTTATCCCTATTTTCTTATAATATTACTAACATCCTATCATCATCTACTTTCTAATTCAATTTTCTAATAACCTTTATCTCAACTCTATATCCTCTTCAAATTATTTAATTATTTTATTCTATTTTAATCAATTTTTCTTCTCTTTCTTTCAATATATGCCCATATCTCTATCTAATCAATCCTCATATTAACTTAATCTTTTTATTTCATAGCCATTAATTAATCTATTATATTTCAAATCAATTAATTAATTTTTATTTTACTTTTAATCTGAAATACAAATGATTGTTCTTCCTTCTATATTTATTTCCAAATTCTAATCATCCTTTTAACCTCAAATTCTTTCCTTTTTAATTCTTCATTATTTATCTATCAATAGTATTTCATTATATATATCAAATGTATGTTTAAACATACTCAATTAAATACTTTTATTTATTTATCAATTAAAATCTTGCAAATATTCAAAAAATAATTTAATTTTTCTTATGTCAACACCATTCTTCACAGTGAAAGTATGAATAACTATTTAAATTTAAAAGGACGTACCTGCATAAGATTTCATTCGTGCTTATGCTGAATATTTGAAAAAAAATAACAAGATTAAAATTCCAGAATGGGGTTCAATTGTCAAGACAGGACTTGGAAAAGAAATCTCACCAATTGACTAAGATTGGATGTATGTTAGAGCTGCAGCACTTGCTCGCAAAATTTATGTCAGAGGTCACTGGGTATTAATTTTTAATTTACAAAACAGGGAGTAAGAAATCTCACTCATATGTTTGGTTCAATGAATGATAATGGAAAACATGAATCAGGATCCGGAAAAGTTATTAGATACTTGCTTCAATAATTGGAAGCCATTAAGGTTTTAAAGAAGGATAACAAGTCTAACTTGAAAAAGGGATCAAGAATTGTTACCAAAGAAGGATAATAAGATTTAAATAGAATTGCAACTCAAGTTGCCTTAGCAGCCAGAAAATGATTGATATAACAATACATAAGTACATTATATAATAAATAAGCCTATAATCATAAATATATTTGTAATTATATTTTATATATATATAAATATAAAAATTATCATATTTTATATTCCTCTCTTAATATTTCATCAATAAATTAATCTATCACCAACTTTAGCTTTTCTTCTCTTGTTAACTATTGAACTGGCTTAATAGTCAATCTGTCTTAAAAAAAAGCATCATTATTTTGAAGATTTGAATCCATAAATGATTGGCTAGCATCTTAGTACAAGGATGAAAGTATCCAATCCTATTAAGGCTATTATATTGAAATTTTTATCTAGGGTTCTTAATATAATATTTTAGGTTGACTCAATTTGTAATAAACATAAAATTTAATCGACTACTTATTTTGTACCTTGGCTTATTGGTAAGCATATTAAAGGTCCTCATCTTAGATTATCACAACTTTATCAGAATCATTATCATAAAAGCTAAGTATAAGTAGATATAGCTTTGGTACTAAATTGTGATGTTTCTTGTTTAAATCCCTTTTTTTTTGATTTCTTACTTTAATTTTAATAATGTTTAGATCTCATTGTAGATTAAAAATGTATCACTTTAAGTTATTATTTTAATATCCATTTTATATTATTTTAATATAATATAATAATCAATTTTGTTCAATACTGTCGGCTCGTTTTCATGATTCTGCTCAATGATTATTACAATGATGACAACTCATGAGAATGACTAATATTATTATATTATATTTCTTACCCTGCAGTAAAGGTTCCAAATTATGAGGGGGGGATGGCATTCAATTTAGCTGTCAAAAGTCTGATATCACTTTAGTTTCCACCAACGCCTAATCTACTTAAATTGCTGCCTAAGAAAATAGCTGATTTTGTTGTTTAATGATGAGGTTGATGACTTAAATATGTCAATTCATTATTGAGACGTGTAAATTTGGTATTTTATATTTGGAGTTCTAGTCCTAACTTTGAATCCCAATTTTTGAATCTATCTATTCTTACCTTTGCTCTTGATGGAGATTCATTGTAATTTCTACTAGATCTTATAGGTGATGTGCTTTTATGAATACTGCTAAAAACTATATGAGTTGGTGTCAAGGGACTAAAATTATTTATATAATAATCTTACTGATATTCTCCAACAACCACTCCCTATAACCCTTTGGTTTATTTTGGAGAGGAATCTCTAAATAATCTCATTTTAACAGGAGACATGTTTGATGACTCTCTACTTTTAGAAACAAAGCTAGAGTCCCCTAATTTACTAATTGCGGTAGATAACAAACCAACTTGGCTAGTCTTTGGTTTATAAACCTTGCTAGAATCAACACTCACAATAGACGAACTTAACATAATTTTTATTTATGTGTAATAAAATTTATATTTCCCCCCTTATATAATATAATATAATTAATTTAATTTCATTTTATTTTTTACTATTCTTTAATCAACTAACAAAATTTACTTATTTAATTTTTAATTTTAAACAATCTCGATATTTTCTTAATTATAAGAACAGAAATAGTGCAGGCTTTTACAATTAAGTGATTTTATTACACATATTATTCAATTTATAATCACAAAATATTACAATAATAAAAAATCATTATTAATAATAATAAAATAGATTTGAAAAAATAAGCATAAGTTAAATATATAGATTTAAGTCATTTTTAATGAAGAAATATATTAATAATTACCAAGCCGTTAAATTGATAATCTACCTCTTTTTAATATATTAAATCTGTTTGTTTAAGATTATTTATTATAATTTTTTCTTTCATAATCATCACCGATATTGATTTATCATAAATAATTAAATTAAAATCAATTTAACTTTTATAACTATATTATTGATAAATTAAAAAATGAGTGATTAAAAAATTTGACCAACTAGTATATTAAGTTTTTGAATGAAGTTTTTGAATTAAAGCTAAACTATTTTATTTTATAAAAATCCTTAATAAATAATTTTTATTACAGTTATTCTTAATAAATAATTTTTATTACAGTTTGTCTTAAAATTCCTCGAGAAATTTTTAAATTAAAAAATTTATACAAAATTATTATGATAATCCTTTCTTTATGACTTGAATTTTAATTCACTTGCCAATTATTTTGAATGTTAAAGTTTATCTTCTTCGATTTTATAAAATAAAAGTTTTAACCTATTTAAAACCACTAATTAATTTCATTTTATACAAACTTGTTTTTTTATATGAAATAAAATATCGAAATAATGTTATTCGAAAAATAAAATCATGTAGTACAAATAATAATGAATTTTAATATTTTTTTTTTAAAGAAAAAATGAATATTATTATA